CCAGGCCAGCTGTCTGCTGTGGCCCGGGAGGGCAGTGGAGGATGTCCCAGGTTCTTGGGCCCTGCACCCCATGGGAGACCAGGAGAAGTACCTGACTCCTGCCATCGGATCAGCGTGGTGCGCTGGTCGCTGCGTGCCGGCCACGGCGGCCATTGGAGGGTGAACCAACGGCAAAGGAAGACCTTTCTCTCTGTCTCTCTCTCTCACTGTCCACTCTGCCTGTCAAAAAAAAAAAAAAAAAGCAGTCAGTAAAACTTTTTTAATGTTTTACTTAGACATCATGTATGTGTATTCATACATGAATATTTTTTCTTACATTTCCTTTACCCACTATAAACTTATTAAAATTAATACAACAAGTTTTAGACAACATTTTTTCACAGTAAAAATTGTGCAAGAATTGTTTATTGCTCTAAAATTTGGTAGAACTAACTTATAAGGCCATCCAAAAGTGGACTTTTAAAGGAAGAATATTTTTGATTACCTTTTTCATTTTTGATGGCTATTGTACATTTAGAGTGTCTATTTCTTTTTTTCCCTAATTTTGACAATTCATATCTTTATTATTTTTTGTGCATTTCCTCGAGGTTTTAAATTTATTGACACATATTTTTTAAAGAATTCTTTCTTTATTTGAAAAGCAGAGTGACAGAGAGGGAGGGGAGAGAGAGAGAGAGAAGGTTGATTTATATGCTAGTTCATTCCCCAAATAGCTGCAACAACTTGGTCTGGGCTAGGACAAAGCCAGGAGCCAGGAACTCCATCACGTTCTCCCCCATGGGTGACAGGGACCTAAGCACTTGGGCCATCTTCCATTGCCTTCCCAGGCACATCACCAGGAAGCTGGATTGGAAGTGGAGCTGCCAGGATTTGGCTCGGTGCTCTGATAAGGGATGCTGGTATCACAAACCATGGCTGAATAAGTACATGGCTGTGCCACAACACCAGCTCCTGATGTAGAACTTTGTGAAGTCTTGAAAAACATGAAACTCTTGATTTTGTCATGATACCTTGTTTATTTAGATGTTATTTCCCTTTTGCCCATAGATAAGTCTTGCTAGAGGTTCATTGTGTTTGTCTTAGAAATAACCAGGCTCCTTCATTTCTATTGTACACTTTATCCCCTTTTTGCCTTAGATAAAAGTGCCTGTTAACTGTCAACTGGGACCCATGGCTGAAACCCAACACTTCCCAGTCTGTTTGCAGTCCTGTACGGTCATCGAAGGAGGCTCCCGCCAATGAAATGCAGGAGGAAACGACACGTCACAGCACTTGTGAATTCTTTCCTTGTTGAGAACAGATATATTAGTACGACCTTATTTATAAGGCTGTTAAAATTGCTTGCTTCCTGCTTATTTTTATCTACTTGATCTTTCAGTTTCAGAAATAGATGTCTGACATTCTTCCCCAGCTAAAATTGTTTATTTCCCTGGTTGCTTTATATATTTTGAGACTCTATTTTTAGGTGCCAACATGTGCGTGATCATTGCATTTTCTTCACGTATTTCTTATGTGTTTAAGAGACAGAGAGACAAGAGAAAGACAGATCACATGCACTGTTTACCCCCCCCCCCCCAAATACTTGCAACAGCCAGGACTGGACTGGGGCTAAAGCCAGGAGCCAGGAAGTCAACCCAGGCTTCCCACATGGATGACAGGAACCAATCACCCAGCTGTCACCACTGCTTCCCAGGACATGTGCTGGCTGGAAGCTGGAGCCAGAGGGCAGCTTGACCACGGGGCTAAATACCCACGTCCTCTTTGCTTCTTCTTGTTTTTTTTTAATTATCTTTCCCTCTATTGTAGCTTGCACTTTAAATTTTGTGGTTTTTTTAGAAAAGGTTTATTTATTTATTTATTTGAAACAGTTATAGAGAGATGGAGACACACACACACACAGAGAGAGAGAGAGAGAGAGAAAGAGAGAGAGAGAGCAAGAGAGTGCTCCTTTATCTGCTGGTTCACTCCCCAGATGGCCACAATGGCTGGGGCTGGGTCAGGCCAAAGCCAGGAGCCAGGAGGTTCTTTCAGGTCTCCCACATGGACTGTAGGGGCCAAACAACTTGGGCCATCTTCCCAGGCCAATAGCAGGCAGCTGGGTCTGAAATCAAACAGCCGGACACGAACTGGCGCCCATATGGGATGCCAGCCCTGCAGGCAGCGGCTTTACCCACTACACCACAGCACCGGCCCCAAATTATGTTTTATTTAATATGAAAATTGCTCTGCTGTTTTTGTGTTGATCTGTTGTTTTCTTGTTCTTATTCTCAACTCTTATGGCCATAATTTTGTTTTAGGATTTATTTATTTATTTGAAAGGCAGAGTTGCAGAGAGGCAGAGGTAGAGGCAGAGAGAGAGAGAGAGAGAGAGAGAGTGAGAGAGAGAGAGAGAGGTCTTCCATCCGCTGGCTCACTCCCCAAATGGCCACAATGGGCAGGGCACCTGTCCATGGTGGTGGGGGTGGGGAGACATCCGGCCACTCTGGGAGGACAAGGGGGCCCTCCCAGCGTGGTGCCCTGGCTCCGTGTCTGCCCCCTCCCCAGAGTCTCCACTAGGGCTCCCCTGAGCCTCTGCGTTTCTTCCTCCTCCATTCAAGCAGGTGTTGGTGGTGGCCCTGTGACCCGCAGGTGGTGTGCTACCCTGCTCGCAGGAAGGTAGAGAATTCAAGGAGGACGCCTCGGGATGATTGACATTCCTACGGGATGGGGTGGGACAGTAAAAGGAAAACACCCAGTTAAAACTCACAAGTTGCCTACTTCTGGAATTTTCCACCCAAGAGTTTTGCACCTTAGTTGACCTTGGGTGAAGGAAACCTTAGCAAAGTGAAACTGATGAGTACAGCGACAGTGGCAACGGGGAGATTGCATTTATGTGAGGCTTAGAAGGAAGGGTGGGCAGCCTGACCCCCTCTGGCTGGACGGCGGGACCTCGGCAGTGAGTGGCGCACATTCAGGGAGGGCATGTGCAGTGGGAGGGGCACAGCCCGCCAGTGAGGGCCAGGGTTCAAAGCCCAGCGCTCCCAGTGCCTGCTGAGACACCTGGGTGTGGCGCCCACCTGCTGAGGTTCAGTGTCTTCCTGCTGTTGATGGCTGGCTCGCAGGGACTGTGCCCCTTGGAAGACAGCGCCAGGCACTGTGGGAAGCGCCCCGTGAGTTGGCTGCCAGTGTCAGGGCATCGCCCAAGGCATCCTAAGGACTTTAGTTCATTTTCCGCCCACTACGTTGGATGGGCTTTAAAAAGCGGCATCCCGAGTTGGTGGCCTGACAGCGAGAGTACGCACACCTCCAAGGCGACCGACTGAGCCCGCCTGACCACCAAGCTTCCTCCCAGGCAGGGAGCTTGCCCCAGGTCTGTGAACTTGGAAGAGAAAACAATGACGTCCCTCTTCCCTATCCTCTGCCGGAAATTGAGCGTTTCCTCCCAGCAGAGCGCAGAGTGTGGCAAACGCACGCGGCGGCTTTTGTTTTTCCTCGGGGGAGGGGAATCACGGGTGTTTTCATGCACGCTCCGGCTCCCCCGGGCGGCCCTGCCTGCCATGGGCATTCGGAGCCGGTGGCAGCTCTTTCTCCTGCTTCCAGATCTTGCTAAGAGGCATATTTATGAAGGCACTTTAAACCAATTCATGGGAAATGGAGCTAAAAGATAAATTTATTGTGGTGCAAAAAAAAAAAAGGTTGGAAATCCATGCACCCAAAAGATCTTCACAAAGCTCCTGGAAAATGTGCATGATGAAAAAAAAAAGCCACATAGCCGGCGCCGCGGCTCAACAGGCTAATCCTCTGCCTAGCGGCGCCGGCACACCGGGTTCTAGTCCCGGTCGGGGCGCCGGATTCTGTCCTGGTTGCCCCTCTTCCAGGCCAGCTCTCTGCTGTGGCCCGGGAGTGCAGTGGAGGATGGCCCAGGTGCTTGGGCCCTGCACCCCATGGGAGACCAGGAAAAGCACCTGGCTCCTGGCTCCTGCCATCGGATCAGCGCGGTGCGCTGGCCGCATCGCGCCGGCCGCGGCGGCCATTGGAGAGTGAACCAACGGCAAAGGAAGACCTTTCTCTCTGTCTCTCTCTCTCTCACTGTCCACTCTGCCTGTCAAAAAAAAAAAAAAACATTTCTTTTAATTGCATTTTTTCCATAAATTTTTTGAAGTAGACTGGCATTTCTACAGCATGAGTTTCTTTTATGAAAGATATTTGGATAGCTATTGCAATACTATTGATTTCTTTGAGAATCCCTACCTGCTTTATTTTTAAATAAAAGTTAAAAATATTGGCTGGTGCCACTGCTCACTAGGCTAATCCTCTGCCTGTGGCGCCGGCACACCGGGTTCTAGTCCCGGTTGGGGCGCCGGATTCTGTCCCGGGTGCTCCTCTTCCAGTCCAGCTCTCTGCTGTGGCCCGGGAGTGCAGTGGAGGATGGCCCAAGTGCTTGGGCCCTGCACCCGCATGGGAGACCAGGAGAAGCACCTGGTTTCCTGGCTGCGGATCGGCGCAGTGCACTGGCATTAGCGGCCATTTGGGGCTGAGCCAGCAGAGGGAAGACCTTTCTCTCTGTCTCTCTCTCTCTCACTAACTCTGCCTGTTAAAAGAAAAGAAAAGAAAAGAAAAGAAAAGAAAAGAAAAGAAAAGAAAAGAAAAGAAAAGAAAAGAAAAGTATTACTGTGAGAAGGGAGAGAGGCCCTTCCAGACTCGGAGGGGTGCCTGGCACCCAAGCAGTGCTGGGCAGGATGCTGAGTTGGGGGGCTACTTCCAGCTCCTGCTCCAGGGTGGGGTGGGAGGCCAGCTTGCCCCGCGCTGCCCTCTGAGACTCCCGGCACGGATCTCCGGGCAGGAAATCGTACTTGGGTCCCCCTGCTCTGTGGGGAGGGTTTTAGGAGGCAGCCCTAGGGGTAGCACCCCAGTCCAGGGCAGTGCGCTCTGATCCCACGCCAGCTCTGTTCCAGCCCCTGGCAGAGGCTGGACGCCAGCGCTTTCCCCGCCCCTGCCCCCTCGCAGCGGGCTTAGAGGAACCAGCAGCCTCCGGGCTGGGGCTTCCTTCCTCCCAGTCACGGGCAGCCTGTGCCCCGGAGCCGTGGGTCCCGCAGCTCAGTCTTCCTGCCCTGCCCGGAGCTGGAACACAGCGGCAGCCATGGGCTTAAGCAGTCCTGTGCGGAGGGCCCTCCTCTTCCTCCTGGGTAAGTGGCGAGTGTGGACGCCGGGTGGCTGTCGTCTGAGCTGGGGGCCTCTGTGAACCCCATCAGCCAGGGAGGCTCTGTCCCTCCTGCAGGCATGGGTGACTTCTCTCGCTAGGATCCCGCAGTGAGCAGCGCTTTCGCGTCATTTCAACTGAAGCTTACAGTTTGCTTTCTGGGCTGATGGTCAGAAAGAACTCTGGGCTTGGGAATCTAGAAAAATCTGGGTTTTGACCAGAGCTCTTTTGCTGACAAAAACTAGGTCAAGCTTCTGAACCCATGGAAGGGGAGGGGGTGATGACCACTGGCACGACACTACCTGCACTCTGATGGGAGCAGGGACACGGAGTGAGAACTGACATGGACAGAGCCAAAGTGGCAGTGGGACGGTTGTACAGTTATAGATCCACCCGGCCTCCCACCCAAGAGACGGACTGGAGGGAAGCACAGACGATGGCCTGAGCTTCCTTTAGTCTCCTTAGCAAGCAGGTTGATGATCATACATGTTCTTAATTTGGAATTCAACAAAAAAATGTCTGTGCACACACACAAATTACAGGACAGCCTGTTGAAAGCAAGGTGAGACAGAGTTTTCTTTTCCTTAATTGACTGGTAAGGGGGACCCCAGGGGTTACCTCGTACAACTCATTAACCAAGTGTGTGAGGGTGGGAGACCAGGCGAGGGGACATATGGGAGAGGGGAGGCGCGGTGGTCTCTGTCCCGTCACCCTGAGGCATCCAGGCTCACAAGACTGTGCAAATGAGCCAGACCCAGGACCCCTGTTCCCCTTACCCAGAGAGCGGTTGGACAGAGAGTTTCGGAAATGCTGCAAACATGTATTTGAAAAAGCTACATGGACGTGGCATCCTTGGGTCCCCATACGCTGAACTTACAAGTATTGAAATGTGGGTGTTTTTTTTGTTTTTTTCCTCTCTTTTTAGGAATAGATGTCTTGGAAGTTAGAGAGACACACCCGCTAGAGAAATCACACAGTAGACGCAGAGGTGTTTGGCTTCCTGCGCAGCAGGGCCAGCAGCTAGCTCCCGATGTGGGCTGTGCACCTTCCTGCCCTTGTGGGCGTGGAAAACACTGCACAGCCAGCAGCCTGCAGCCGCTGCTCCTGGGTCTGATTCTAATCTCAACCAAGCTTCCGGGGAAACACGTTATTCATTGATGTATCCACTCCCAGGATGACTGGGTTGTTTCTAACTGCCTGCCCCTGCTGTGGCAGCCTGGTGCTCTTGGTGGGAGGAAGCTGCTCTGTCAACATACACAGTTCTCCTTTTTCAGTCTATGAAAGTACTTGAAAAAGTTCCTGGAAAAATGCAATGGCCAGGTGTTCCCTTTGATACAAAAGTCTTCGGGGTGCATGCGTGGTTTTGCAGAATGCATTTGCCCAAACCCTTTTGCACCCAAAATAAACGTAGCTGTTAATCTCCGCTTTCTGGGAGGTTTTTGAAGTCCCTTCGTATTGCCAAATCGCTCTGCACCAGGGTATGGGCGTATCTGTTTGCCTGCACGCGCTGTAGGACTTGATGTTGTCACACTTCTCGATTCTTGCTGACCGCAGAGGTATAAACTACAACCTCGAGGTTTCCAGGCTGTGTGTCCCCAGCCATACGGAGAATAGCCATTTTCTCTACAGTGAATCGCATAGCCAGTCTTCTTTTCTGTAAACTGCTCTGTATTGACTGGTCTTTCGTGTATTTTTTTCAAGACGTTAGTTATTTGTCTGTTCATCTGCAAAACAGCCTTTCTTGGGGTGTTGTTAATCTCTTATCTTTGCGGCATCTTTTGTTGGACCCAAGTCTCTACATGTGATATCAAATGTGATCAGTCATCTCCTTTTTGTCTATTTGATTTTCCTGCCTTGTCTAAGAAACATGTTATTTTTTATTATTTTAAAATGGTTGTATTGAATTATTTATTTATTTTATTTTTTTATTTTTTTTTTTATTTTTTTATTTTTTTTTTGACAGGCAGAGTGGACAGTGAGAGAGAGAGACAGAGAGAAAGGTCTTCCTTTGCCGTTGGTTCACCCTCCAATGGCCGCCGCGGCCGGCGCGCTGCGGCCGGCGCACCGCGCTGATCCGATGGCAGGAGCCAGGAGCCAGGTGCTTTTCCTGGTCTCCCATGGGGTGCAGGGCCCAAGCACCTGGGCCATCCTCCACTGCACTCCCTGGCCACAGCAGAGGGCTGGCCTGGAAGAGGGGCAACCGGGACAGAATCCGGCGCCCCGACTGGGACTAGAACCCGGTGTGCCGGCGCCGCTAGGCGGAGGATTAGCCTAGTGAGCCGCGGCGCCGGCCTTGTATTGAATTATTTGAAATACACTTTTGAGCATGGCCTCAAGAAAGGATCTAATTTTAATTTTTTTAAAAAAATATTTATTTAGTTGAAAGGCAGAGTTACAAGACAAAAGGAAAAACAGAGATAGGGAAAGAAACAGAGAAAGAGAGAGATTCCATCTGCTAGATGCCCCCAACAGCCAGAGGCAAAGCCAGCAAAGCTGGGAATTCTATCCAGGTCTCCCACGTGGGTTGCAGGGGCCCAAGCACTTGGACCATCCTTTTCTGCTTTCCCAACTGCATTAGCGGGGAGCTGGATCGGAAACAGAGCAGCTGGGATCTGAACCAGTGCTCTGATATGGCATGCTGCCGTCGCTGGCGGCGGCTTAACCTGCTATGTCGCGATGCTGGCCCTCGGTGTGTATTTCTTAGGAAAAGAGGTATTGTCTTAGACAATCATAGTGTAGTCAGTATTGATTAGAAACCTCGGTGCTGACCCAGCACTTTTACACACACTACTGAATACATTCCAGGGCGCCCCAATGGGCCCAGCAGTGTGCCCCATGGCCTTTGCTGTGCCTCCAGGACAGGACCCCGTTGTGGCCAGGGGTGGCATGAGCTGGCTCTGCCAAGGTAGCCTATGGAATCCAGAACGTCTGCTCGGCCCTGTGTTTCATGACGTGAGCTGTGAGGTCACAGCTTCCCTCACTCCCTGTTCCCCACGAGACAGCCCTCGTCTGGGGGTTGGCCTAAATATTCCCTAATGACTGGATCTGGGCTATCCGTTCCCTATTTGATTTCTGCTCAGTGGCCGTCTTGCTCAGACATGTGCCTCTGCAACACTATTTACTGCGGACATCGTGATGTAAGACTGAACACTACTTGTCAGGTTGGGTGGTCAGCCCACTTCCAAATCAATCATTTACCACTTCAATACCTGCCCATTAATATTTTTAAATTTTGCTAAAATCTTGAAAAATTTTGGTGGAATTTCCAGGCATGTTATAAGAGGTGCATATCTTCCATTTAAAAAAAAAAACCCTGCAATATAAAATATTCCTGTGGGCTCTCATTCCAGCTCAAGTGTCAGCCATCTGTCTCCGTTTTAATGCTGTTGGAAAGCATCCATTGAAATCTATGTATTATTATCATCATGATGATAAAAGAAATACAATATCCCTTTAATTATATTCCACTGCCGAAAACATTCTTCACAGAAGGAGCCAGAGTTATGGGGAAGAGCAGAGACCCCCCAGCCCCCTCCGCCCCTTCATTTATAATGAAAAGATGGCAGAGGCCTGGGTAAAGAGAATTAAATTCGTTTTTATCTTACAAGTCAAAGTCATCACTTTATGCCTGGGCTCTTAGTCCCTGAGATCTTTGTAAAAATCTTTCTTGACAGCTTCTCCCCTGGTCCAGGTTGCTGCCAAGGCAGTTGTGAATTTTAGTGAGAGAGGATTCTTGGTGGGCAGGTGGATTTCAGAAAGTTGGCGCAAAAATGGAATAAAGGCTAACTTTATTGTGGTGCAAAAAATACGAAATTTTTTCATAATCTACATTTTTCCATGGATTTTTGGAAGACCCTGCTATGTGTGGATTTCCAGTTTTTTGGCAGTACAATACACTTATCTGCTTATTCGACTTTTTCTGGAACTTTCTGAAACACTCGTAGAACTCCTCTTTGGCTGCATAAGAAGGCCTCAGAAATGTAAGGAAAACAAAGCAAGACAAACGTGGCAGGGTCTCTTGGCAGGGGAGCGGAAGGCACCGGGGGATGCTGGGACCTCAGACAGGTTGAGTTCATTTTTGTATAAGATATGCATACAGTTCAACAAATCCCCACCCTGCCCCCACAGCCGGCCACTTACTCTGGCACTATTGAGTGAAAAAGAAAAAGAAAGAGCACACACCCAGCCTTCCTCTCCCGACCTGAGAAACAGTCGGCCGTACTGGGTGGGGCCACCTTGGGGCTCTCACTTCTTTTCGACGGATGCGTGTGTCTGTGCCTCTGCTGATACTTCACAGCGTGGGTTCCTGGAGCTGTATCAAGTCTCTCTAGACGGCCGAGCGGCCCCCTGTTCAGTCTGTCTAGTCAACACTTTGTTTAGCGGTTCTCATCACTTTGCCTCTCCTTGTCAATCTACAAAGGAAATCTTACTGGGTTTTTAGTCAAAACAAGAGATCAGCTTGGGAAGATTTGATAGCTTTAATATGTTGCGCTTTCCATGAACTTCCTGCATATTCTTGCGTATTAAGATCCTTTTTGATCTCTTTTGGTGTTGTGGTTTTTTTAGCATATGAAATGTGCATGTGTACTATTAGACTTAAAACTAAATATTTAAGTTTTTTTGTTTGATGCTAAATTACATTGTACTCAAAATTCCTCTCTTTTTAAAAGATGTATTGCAAAGGCAGAGTTATAGAGAAAAAGAGACACACACACACACACACACACATACACAGAAAGGGATCTTGCATCTGCTGGTTCACTCCCCAAGTGGCTGCAGTGAACCCAGGGGCTGGGCCAGGCTGAAGCCAGGAGCCAGGAACTCCATCTGAGTCTCCCACATGGATGACAGGGACCCAAGCACTACTGCCTCTGTAGGTGCATTAGCAGGGAGCTGGATCAGAAGCAGAGCGGCCAGTCTGAACCGGAGTGCCTTACATGGGACGTGGGCACAGCAGGTAGTGGCTTCCTGTGTTGCTCCACAATG